AGCCCGGTCCCTGCGGGGTTCTCGCGCCCCCCCTCCAGGTGTAAGGTCTGCCCCTTGACGTTCTTCACCAAGTCGGAGATGCAGATCCACTCCAAGTCGCACACCGAGGCCAAGCCCCACAAGTGCCCCCATTGCTCCAAGTCCTTCGCCAATGCCTCCTACCTGGCCCAGCACCTGCGCATCCACCTGGGCGTCAAACCCTACCACTGCTCCTACTGCGAGAAGTCCTTCCGGCAGCTCTCCCACCTTCAGCAGCACACTCGGTGAGGGCACGGCGGCCCCTGACACCCCGGAGCCTGGCTTCCCTTCGGGGGTGCACCCAGCGTCTCTCGTGGCACGCTTGTTGTCCTCTCTGTGCTCCCATGACCACCTCCATCCTCTCCATACTTGTCCGTCCCCATCACCTTCATTGACCCCACCATTGACTCCACCATGGTCATCCATCCCCACCACACTCAGCATCTCCAGCACCTTCATCGTCCCCACCATGCTCATCCATCTCTGCTGTGCACATTGTCCCATCACCACCTCCATCCCCAGCACACTCATCTGTTCCCCACTACTCTCATCATCCCGCTGTCTTCACTGAGCCCACCATGGCCATCTGTCCCCACCACACCAGTCCATCCTCACCGCACTCATCATCTCTGCACCTTCATCATTGCTGCTACTTTTTAGTCTCTACCACCTTCACTGTCCCTACCATGCTGATCATCCCCTCTGCCTTCATCATCCCACCATGCTCATCATCTCTACTGCGCTCACTGACCCCACCACCTTCTTCACCCCTGCCCTGCTCATCCATTCCCACCATGCTTATTGTCCTATTGCCCTCATCATCCCCATAATGCTCATACTCTCCACGACCTTAATTAATCCCACCACGCCAATCCATCCCCACCAGGCTCATCATCTTCAGCACCTTCCTCATCCCTACCATGCTCATCAACCCCATCATCTTCATCAATCCCCCCATGGTCATCCGTCCCCCCCAGGCTGATCCATCTTCACCATGCTCATCATTTTCAGTACCTTCATCATCCCTACCACCTTCATTTTCCCCAGCATGCTAATCATCCCCATCACGCTCATCATCTCCACTGTGCTCATCGTCCCAACCGCTTTCTTCATCCCTGCCATACTCATCCCCACCACACTCATCATCCCTACCATACTCATCCCCACCACACTCATCATCCCTACCATGCTTATCATCCCTACCACGCTTATCATCCCTACCACGCTTATCATCTCCACCACCTTCATTGACCCCACTGTGCTTATTATCCCCATCATCTTCTTTGACTTCATGATCGTCATCCATCCCCGTCACGCTAGTCCATCCTCACCACTCTCATCATCTTCTGCACCTTCATCATGGAATCACAGACTGCTTTGGGTTGGAAAGGATCTTAAGATCATCTAGTTCCAACCCCCTGCCACAGGCAGGGACAGCTCACGCCACTTTCACAGTCTCTACCACCTTCACTGTCCCCACCATGCTGATCATCCCCTCTGTCTTCATCATCCCCACCACGCTCATCATCTCCACAGCACTCACTGTTCCCATCACCTTCTTCCTCCCTGCCCTGCTCATCCATTCCCACCACGCTCATCATCTTCATCAATCCCACTGTGGTCATCTGTCCCCACCATGCTGATCCATCCCCACCACGTTCACCATCCCTACCACCTTCATAGCCTCTACCATCTTCATTGTCCCCACCATGCTTATCATCCCCATCACGCTTATCATCTCCACTGTGCTCATTGTCCCCACCACCTTCTTCATCCCTGCCATACTTGTCCATCCCCGCTATGCTCATAATCCCCACCATGTTCATCATCTCCACCACCTTGTTAGTCTCCACTAACCCCACCACGGTTGTCTGTCCCTGCCACGCCAATCCATCTTCACCATGCTCGTCATCTCCAGCACCTTCATCATTCCCACCATGCTCATCCATCCCTACCACATTATCATCCCTATTGCCCTCATCATCCCCACCATCTTCATTTGCCCCACCGTGGTCGTCTGTCCCCACCATGCCAGTCCATCGTCACCACACTCATCATCTCCTGCACCTTCATCATCCCCATCGTCCCCACCACACTCATCTGTTCCCACAACCCTTATTGTCCCCATGGTCTTCATTGTCCCCACTATGCTCATGATCTCCAGCACCTTCATCATCCCCACCATGCTCATCCATCTCCACTGTGCTTATTGTCCCCACCACCTTCTTCATCCCCACCACACTCATCTGTTCCTACTTCTCTTAGTACCCCCACTATCTTCATCACCCCCTCTACACTTCCCATCTCCAGCACCTTCATCATCCCCACCACGTTCATCACCTCCAGCCCTCCCTGCTCAGCCCCACGTCTCCCCTGTGCCTCTTTGGGTTCTTTGCCCCATCACTTGTCGCTGCTGTGGCTGTGATGTCCCTGGTGCCACAGTGGTGGGACAACGTGACCCGACGTGTCCCCCCCCTGCAGAATCCACACGGGCGACAGACCCTACAAGTGCCCGCACCCCGGCTGCGAGAAGGCCTTCACACAGCTCTCCAACCTCCAGGTCAGCACCGGGGGGTGGGATGTGGGGGCAACAGAGCCC